AATACAAGAGGAAAAATGTACTTTCTATCTAGCCCATGATGGTTATTAAAAAATAGTGGTTGGTTGGGGCTGGCCCTGCTGCGCAGTGGGTTAATGCCAGGGCCTGATTCGAGTATCAGCTGCTCTGCTTCTGATCCAGCTCTCTGCTATGGCCTGGGAAAGCAGTGGAGGATGGCCCAAGTCCTTAGGCCCCTGCACCTGCCTGGGAGACTCAGAAGAAGCTCCTGGCTCCTGGCTTCGGATTGGCACAGCTCTGGCTGTTGTGGCCAATTGGGGAGTGAACAATTGGATGGAAGACCTCTCTCTCTCTCTCTGCCTCTCCTCTCTGTGTAACTCTGACTTTCAAATAAATAAATAAATCTTTAAAAAAATAGTGGTTGGACAGAATTTACTTTCTATATTGTCATTCTACTTAAATACATCACCTGCCCCTCTCTGAGTTACTATACTGTGTACTAAGTGATTAATTCAGAAATCTGGAGAAAGTGAAAAAGAAAGTAAAAACAATCACATGAAAAATTAGGATGTCCTGGTACACAGCACATTCATTTAACACAATCACAGAAGAATCTGAGAATGAGAATATCCTTTTGTAACACATAAGGAAAAATATTGATCACAGTATGATCTACAGGATCCTGTTATTTGGAAAGAGCTCTGTATCATTCTGATTATTGCTTTTCTTATTTAATACCCGTGACACCATTTTGTTGACAAAATGCTCTCTCAGAGCTCTTACAAGCAATGTTCTTTGAGATGATCAGCCAAGTATGTGATCCACATTGAACTTTAATTTGTTTATTTATACAACAGCTAATAATTACATATGGACTGGAGGGCTGAAGTTGTGGTAGAAATCAAGATAGAAACAGTCCATGCTTTTTTGGATCTCGAGTTCATCCATCAGAACAGACAATGAACAAGTAAATATTAAGGGTAAATAAGACAACAGAGTAATGTGTACATACCAAAAAGGATGATGTTTTAGAGAATGACATGCTAACTAATTCACGTTAGTTTTTCAGGGAAGGATTCATTGAGGAGGTAACATTTTTGTTGATATTTCAACAGTAAGGTTGAACCAGTCATTCATTACAGGTGTTATACAAATTTGCCTCTAACATATAAAAATGATAAATCACATAATTTCTACCAAAGAAATGAAATAGGAAAATGTTTTTAATAAAGTATTGCTTTTGAAATATAAACTACCTGAATTAATTTTATATGCATGGTGTGAGATTATTTTGGAGCTTTCAAATGTCATACAAATGAAATTGTTTTGCCATTTCACAAAATCAGGATTCTTTATATTTGACAGTATCCCAACACATTGAAAAGGAGCCTGGGGTATAAAATGGATAAAATATAAAACAGACTTGATTATAAACACAGAAGAATTTTCACTTTCCTTACCATAACATTTTGGTTTCTTTCCCTACATTAAAGCAATAGGTTATTAATGTAAATTTTTGAGAGTCTGAAGGTGTGACCTATCCATCACCTTTATAAGTTTCTGATTTCACAGACTTGTAATAGCTGCAATCACTTCTCTTAAGAATGCATTAGCACCTTAAATTATGTAGAATACTTTTATAAAATTGAGGCTTCTGGACAATGATATGGTTTAAAAGTCCAGCTAGACTACATGGTTGCTGACTGAAAACTGAATATGTTTAGCAATTACATGTGCTAAAATCAATATTATATTTTTACATTTTATTACAAAATAAATGCTGAGTAACCTGCCTTACCTTGGGAATATCTTAGTTTACTAATTTCACATTCATTTTATCAGTAATTAAATGTTGACTCTGAGCTAGGCACTTTCTAGACACTGTAATAACATACCACTGATAGAAACACCCCTTCTCATAAGTTTATGTTTCATCTTCTAGGTGCAAAGAAATGTTTGAAAAGTAGAATGATGCATTTTACTGTTTTTTAGATATTACTGTTGAGCTACCACTATGACTTGAATGGAACATGTATATAGAATACCCCAATTTGATAGACAAAGATACATTTCCCACTGTTCTACTAAATTTTCTTCAGAAACCATGTGCAGCTTTTTTAAACCCAAGTTTTATGTAAATACTGACTTTTATTAATTCTCTTCCATGTTGCTCCATATGCTCTTTTCTAGTAATGCTTTTTTCTTTCTAATAATCACTTAACCCAGTGCAACATTAAATTTAGACTTCATTTATGGTTCTGAAGCCAGAGTAGCAAAAACTGAGGGGTAGGAGAACAAATGGAGAAATGCTGTTTTCACCTTGTAAATATTTTAAATGTCTGACCAGTTCATACTTCCTCTACGAGGCACTCTAATTCTATTATGTAGGGTAATTTTTACTCTGGTTTTGATTCAAAATTCTGTTAAAAAAATCACTCATTAAATGTTTCATGAGTTCCTAATATATCCTGGTCATTAGAGATATGAAGATATTGACAGTTTCTATCCTCAAAAAATTCATTGGTAACAAATAATAAATACAGTAATACAGATAGTGGTCAAGGACATTTTACAAAGAAGGTAAGATCTGATAAGAATGTTTAATAGAAAGTGAAAAGTACTCTGATTAGAAAGGATTGAAAATACACTAACATAAAGAAAGGCAAAGAAGCTATCAGTAGCAATTTTCCCCATAAAAATTGTAAAAAAAAAAAATACACTATTGTGAGGCATTAATGCAAAAAACCGAAGTTGGAGGCTGGCCATGAAGGATCTGTGTCACCTCAAGGAGCTTGGACTTTTTCCTGCAGGGGATGGAAGGTCAAGGCAGGGATCTAACAGTGACATTGTAAAGTTTGGTTTTGTATTTGTATGGCTGTCCTGCAGTGGGATGAATTTGAGCCACTGAGAATCAAGCCAGGGAGAACACTTGTGAGCGCATTTCCTATGTCAAGTTATAAGACGTTGAGACTCTCAGCCATGGAATGTGAATACACCAGAGAAGAAGCTGGTCATCATTTAGTGACTGAATGCAGTAGGACATATGTCTGTGCATGCGGGTAAAAGTGAGAGGTGGAAAATTTCCAGTCAGAGACAGAGAAAGGACAGTAAATAAAATAAACAGGTCACAGAGAAATGTCTTTTTATCCCCATTTTACATTATACTGAGAATTTCCCACACGGAGGGCAACTTTCCAAAAGGCTGGATTTCTCAGGGTTCATTCTTACATTTATTTGGTCTATTTGTTTCTGTATTGCTGATGAGATTTTACACCAGGATCCTAACTTTCCCTGTCTCTGGAATATATCCTTAGTTTTATTTCCTGCCTTTTGATTTGATCTCCTCCCTGATATTGTCTCTTGAATTATCCTTGTCTCCAAGCTCTGACTTGAATCAAGCTATCTTTGCACCCTCTGCCTCCTGGAGAACCCAACCTGATTTCACTGTCTTGAGCTTCTGCCTTTTAGTGAAGAGAATTTGAATTTAAAATAAATTTTATATTCCAGCAAGATATAGAGCAAACTATCTTTTTAAATTTTTAAAATACAGCTAATATATTGCTTTCTTTAAGGCAAACAAAAGACATAACTGGAATATATTTTCAACACATAAAGGTTGATACATTCTAATTTGATTGAAGAATTTATAGGAAAATTAAGTTCATTAATAGTAGATAGTTAACCTTTTATTTTCAAAATTCCTAATAGGTAAATGGTACTTAAAATTATGTGAATAAATTTTTGTGCATGTAGAAATTTAGAAATGGCTATAAATAAGAGAGAAATTTGTTGTGTGAATATTTGAGTAATTTAAATTATGCTAAATGTATTAGGATTTTCAAGAAAAATTAAGAATATAAACTACATGGCCCTGGGAGTCAGGGAAAACAGAGATAAAATCCAGTCTGGTATCTGGTCAAAGAAGGTAAAAATAAAGAAGTATTATTGGAACTAGATTTTGTCAACAGATGAGAGACATTTCTGGAAATTGTATGATGCAACGATGAGAAACTATAATTGATTTTTGCAAGATAGCAAGTTGCACAATTTGGTTGCAGGCCACTTTGCAACATGTAAGGCAACAGTGAAAAGGAAAGAACCAACGTGAGAATGCAAAAGAGCTGAAACATTAGCTTAAGCAGTCTATATTGAATTTATTTTTAGTGTGAAGATTGATTTTTTTGAGAAGAAAGGCAATCAGCTTGGGTACATAAAATATTAATCTGACACAGGTGTTTTAAGGGGTAGTTAGATAAAAACCTCAAAGGTTGGAAGGCAAACTAAGGGATAGTGCAGATAATATACTTGAGCAGCCTTAGGCTTGGATGACGGCAGAGGAGAAGCAAGCAAGGAAGGAGGTGTGGCATGAATGTTCCAGCATTTGGTGATGATATGTGCAACTATTAGACAGACAAGATTCCAAATAAAACTGAAGCTTTATATCCCAAGTTTACCTCAGAGAATGAATGCAAACTTTATAAACACACTTTAAATAAGAAAGACTTAATAATGGAAGACAGTGATTTCATGAGATAGCTTACTGTATTCATGTATGTTTGGCCAAGGGGGATATCATATAGCTTTTGGAATGGAAAGAAGATGCAAGGCAAAGAGACATTACTGATGTTATGAAGTGTTTTAATGAGGTAATAGCAAATGAATTGCTCATGGAAGATCAGTTTGTGATCAGGGTTCAAGAGATGATCAATAAAAAAGGAAGGGAGAGAGTAGAATTCAAAAACAAGAAAAACAGTTCAGGAAGCATAAGCCAGTGGAATACTGGGTGGATATGGACAATGAGGTCATAAGAAGGAAGTCTGAGAACAAGTGATGGAAAACAGAATGGTTCTGAGAGTCATAATTCATAGAACATTACATAATGCATTAAAAAGCAATTAAAAGCCTTTATACAAGAAATACTTAAAGGAGAATAAGGTCAAAAGTTATCTTCTCATTTAGTTCAGATTTTTTTTTTTACAGAATTTCTCATGAAAAGAGAAAATAATGATCATGTGCGATGGAGATTGAAGAAAATAATCCTTACCTCTCTCAGAGGATCATTCAGTTCATTGAGAATATTTTCCTCATCAAAGATTTTGCCTTGATATCTGTGTTCATAGTAATCATGTATCTTCTGACGCATATCAGCTGGTAACTTATGGAATGACATGTATTGTTCTACTTGCTTATACTGCAAGAAGAGGAAAAATAAAATTAGGAAACATCATTAGGCTATATGAAAAATTATTCAATACTCTGATGTACCATATGCACTAACATTTGAATACTCAGTAACAATAAAAAAAAAGAGATATTAGAGTGGGCCCTTGGTGCAGTGGTTAAGGTGCCTCGTGGGATGCCCGCCTCCCTTACTGGAGCGCCTGGCTCTGCTCCTGCTAATATGTACACTGGGTAGCAGCAATAATGTCCTAAGAACTGGGTCCCTGCTACATGGGGGACCAGGATTGGGCTGTGGCTCGTGGCTTTGGACTCACCTAGCCCCAGCAGTTGGAGGCATTTGGGGAGTGAACCCATGGATGGGAGACTGTCTGTCTCACTTTGTCTCTGGCTTTCAGATAAATGAAAATAATAATAATAATAATAATCAAAATAATAATCCCTTTAAGAGGAAGGAAGTCATGTGCTAGGTTCTACTCCATCCATTCTGTGTTGCACATACAAAGCATTTGATTTCGGTAGCCATTTCCTATAAAGAAATAAGATACCATGGAGAGGAGGCATGAAACGATTTCAGAATGAACTTAAGGGCATAGTTCTAAAGAGCCAGTGACTGATATAAGAAAAAAAAATGTAATCCTATATTTCTTTACTTGAGTTCTAAAAGTATGAGGTCATAATTTGGCTCTTCATTTGGAGGAAAAATCTCATACTTCTGATAGTGCAAAAGTTTTATCTTAGATCTTCCAGCAAAGGATCAGAACCTAATTAAATGTTGAATCTAGAGGCAAGAGAGCTTGGCATCTGTTTGCAAATCATAGATACGTTAAGCAACACAGATGCCCTAACAGTACTGAGAACTCAGAGAATATGTCAGGCTTCCAATTTAGGATATAGGAGAGTATCAGAGTGAGACAAGAGCTACATAATTTCATAGTTGTAGGGTAACTCAGATGTTGAACTTTACTCTGGCAAGAGGCTGTTAAACTTAATTTACAAAACCTGAGGATGTGTTTGCTTCATGGGAATGCAGATGTTTAGGTTTAATCTTAGATATGATTCTATTTTTAAGATTAATTTATTTTCATGAAACATGGGGTAGGGGTGTTGTAGGAGGAGGGAGAGAAATCTGTCATCCACTCGTCCACTCCTGAATTAGCTACAATGGCTGTGACTGGCCCAAGCCAAAACCAGGATGTTGGAGTGCCATATGGGTTTCCCACATGGACGGCAGAAGTTGAGGTTCTTGGGCCATCTTCTTTTGCTTTCCAAGGCCCATTAATAGGGAGCTGGATAGGAAGCAGAGCAGCAAGGACTCCAAACTTTGCTCAGATATGGGATGCCAGCATCGTATCCAGCAGCTGAGCTCACTATCCCACAATTTTCTTTTGATGTGCCTGCCTTTTTATATTTAAATACATATACATATACAAAGAGAAGTGTGAATTATTACCAAAGAGGCTATAGAAAGTGAAGACCTATGAGATCAAAACTTGTGTTTTACAAAGATCCCCAGATGGGTCATGTACACATTCAAGCTTGGGAAGCTTTCCACAGTTGTTTCAATGCAGGTTGTCATAAGATCATCCTTTGTGAAAACTGAATTAGATACTCAAAAATTAGTTCATTGTGCAAATGGTAGAATTGAGCACAAATAGACAAGCAAGTGGTAGAACTGAATAAAGACACTGGGATAAAAGTCTTCCCTCAAATAAAGCACACTTGATATGTGTGGAAATTTTCCTGAAAACAGAAGATTGAATAGAAGATCTAGATGTTCTGACTCCTTGCGAATAATGATTATATATCTTTAATTTTTTCCTGCATATTTTCACACATTTATGTTGTTTGGACACTCCCATTTGGAGATTAGTGTCCTCCAAGAAATATACTTTGACACAGATTCCTTAATTTGATAACCATATTGCCCCCAAAGTACTTAACATATGCAGGTGTGGGCACTGTGGCATAGTCAGTTCAGTCACCATTTGGGATGCCCTCATCCCATAATGTACCACTTGTTCGAGTCACGGGTTCTTGGTTTCCAATCTAGTTCCCTGCTAGTGTACCTGGGAAGCAGTAGATTATAATACTTGAGTTCTTACTGTCCACATGGGATGCTTGGGTGGAATTCCTGGCACCTGGCTTTGGCCTGGCCAGGCCCTGGCATTTGTGGTCATTTGGAGAGTGAATCAGCAGATGGAGTGTTTCTCTTTCTCTCTCTTTCCCCATTTTTGTAACTTAAATTTCAAATAAATGAACAAATAAATCTTTAAAAAAAATCCTGCATACCTATGTACCTGAGTCAACTTGATTATGATGCAGTAATTAGAGTGTAGGCACAAAGCATCACTGTCATTATGTACAAGCTGTTTCTAGTACACAGTGAAGAATAAGTGCATTACTTTTCCCTGCAGCACTCAAAACCGGCATGTCTACCTCACTCAGCGTGCTTCTGCAGCCACTTCTAGAGACCTGTGATTCAATCTCCCCGGCCCCTCATGCAGCTGCTCAACAGAAAAGAGAGCTCATTGGCTCTCTCTACAAGACTGCCAAGCAGCAAACAGCTGGACTAGAAAATTCTATCTTTATTTCTGGATACCTGTTATATCTTGTTTTTATTTCTGGCAAAAAACAAACAAATAAAAAAAAAAAACCAGTAATGTGGCATGTGATATACTGTTTAGGGTCTGAAACCCCACTAGAGACTCCCAGTGACAGTTTCTGCGTTAGTGTGAAACTAGCCTGCCCAGTTTTAAGAGTCTGCTTTGACAATTTTAAAGAGCCATTGAGAGCTCTGTGGGCGAGCTCTCCCCAGACCAACATTTCTTGCCTAGATCTTGGCAGTTCAAGCCAGAGGCTAAGCATTCTCCAAATGCCCAAAGTTTGAGCCCATGGGAAACTCATGCAGTGGAAAGACTCTGGAAACTCTGACGTCTGTATTCTTATTCTCTTGCTGCACTGTATCCTTTGATTTAAATAAATGCTTTCTATAAGTATACTGCATGATTCTTGTGGGTTCTGCCAAATATTTAGACTTCAGAAAACAATCAAACACCTTGAATAACAAGACCGCCACAGCTTTGGCACTCACTGCCTAAATGACTTAAGTGCTATCACTTTGCTTCAAATAAATCATTTATCTTTTTTTAAGATCTGTAGGTCTGAAGTTATCTCTGCTTACTTGCCTCAAAAAAAAAAAAAAAAAAAAAGTTTGACCAAACAGCTTGGTGTCGTAAGAATGAGCTTTTCTGTCCCCCTACCCTGCCCCTGCCATGCACAACAGGACTTTGGGGAGAAGCACTAAAAGTCAGTATTTATTCACTTAGGGGAAATCGGTGTCTGAGCACAACAGCATACTCATCTAGGGAAAATACATTCTGCCCTTTCTTCATCTCTGCAATTGGAAAGCTAATCATTGATTAGCTAAATACAAATGTTACATATAAATTTATTTTATTTTTCTGGAAAAAGAGAAGTAGTATAGTCCAGTTATTTTCCCTCACACATGTTATTTAACACCTCTAATCAACCATAAGTAGGTGTTTGAATGAGCTTCCTTGTTCTTTCAGACTAAGTTCTAAGATAATTTCCTGTGATTTACTTGTATTAAGTAAAGTTCAATGTTTGAATCTATGTGACTTATTTTAACTATACCTCAATACATAATAATTACTGATTTAACAAATATTATTTTTGTGTGCCAATGGATCTCAAAGCATAGTTACCAAATTCCCAGCATCACCTGCTAGAAATGTAGTTTTTATTAAAATCTCTGTTCCACACTTACTGAATCAGAAACTGTACATTTGATATCCAGCAGTCTATGTGTTAACATACTAAAATTCCAGAGCTACTATTATATATCAAGTGAAGTATTAAGATATAGGGAGGCATATTGGAAGGTCAAAGAAAATAAATTCAGCTTTTGACAATTTAAGTTTAGGATGCCTATGAAACAGCCTAATGCCATGGTGCATTCTTTTTTTTAAGATTTATTTATTTATTTAAGCTACAAACAGAGAGACAGAGAGAAGGGAGAATAGAGAAGGGAAGGGAAGGGAAGGGGAGGGGAGGGGAAGGGAGGGGAAGGGAGGGGAAGGGAGGGGAGGGGAGGGGAGAGACAGGGAGAGAGAGAGATTTTCCATTAGCTAGTTCACTCCCCAATTTACCACAATGGTCAGGGCTGGTCCAGGCCAAAGCCAAGATCCTAGGGCGTCACTGGGGTCTCCCAAGTGGGTGGCAGGGGCCCAAAAACTTAGCCATTTTTGCTGTTTTCCAAGGTGCATTAGTAGGGAGCTGGATCAGAAGCTGAGCATCCAGGACTTGAACCAGCACTTTGATATGGGAGGCTGGTATTGCAAGCAGCGGCTTAACCCGTTGCATCGGACTTTTTTCTCCTTTTTGCCTTACATATTTTCTTTGAGCAATCTTTCCCACTCCTATGACTTCAGTTATTTTCAATATACCACCATTCCCCAAGTCAGAGAACTCTAGTAGAGAATTCACTCTTGATCTCCAGAGTCTTATGCTCTTATTCCCTTTAAATATACATCCTTGAAACATGTCTTAAGAGCACATAGTGGCCGGCGCCGCAGCTCACTAGGCTAATCCTCCGCCTTGCGGCGCCAACACACCTGGTTCTAGTCCCGGTCGGGGCGCCGGATTCTGTCTCGGTTGCCCCTCTTCCAGGCGAGCTCTCTGCTGTGGCCTGGGAGTGCAGTGGAGGATGGCCCAAGTGCTTGGGCCCTGCACCCCATGGGAGACCAGGAGAAGCACCTGGCTCCTGCCATCAGATCAGTGCAGTGCGCCGGCCACGGCAGCCATTGGAGGGTGAACCAACGGCAAAAGGAAGACCTTTCTCTCTGTCTCTCTCTCTCACTGTCCACTCTGCCTGTCTACTACAAAAAAAACCAACAAAAAAAAAAAGCACATAGTATGTCTAAAATTGAAGCAAGTTCTTCCTCCATGCTTCCTCTAACCAGCAGCCTGAGCTCTCTACTTGGTTTTAAC